TAGTGGAGGCAGGAACCATACATAGCTTTAAGACGAGGTATGATAAAGATCATGGAGCAGGGAGAGAGAGGACCTAGTAGTGATCAGTGAAGTGGAGGGCACAAATAGGCGAGTACTGACACCTACCTACCTACCTGGACGTAAAACCGTACGTTCTCACCAGAGGACCGAATACAAGGCAACCCAAAACGTGTTGCATATGATGACTTCAACAATGCCCCACAAAGCTATTTACAAAAACTGTGGTACACGAGAGGGAGAGATCTGCTGCACTATGTATATGTAGAGAAAACTGATTTTGCAGAGGCCAGTAGGAGGGTACATCTGCATCCTGGCCGATCTTGTGCAGCCGTTGCTTCAAATGGATGAGTGACTCGCAGGTTAGACCCACAAGGGGTGAGCGGGGAAGTGGGGATAGACGAAGAATAGCTCTGGAGAGGAACGTCTCGAGTCGTAGAAAAAGAGCCGGGGCTAAACCCAGTCTCAGAGCATTATAGGGCAGATGTAGAAGAGTGTAGAATATTTATACGACATTTGCTGAGTGTGCTGACTAGTCTTGAGTATATATATCTTGGTAATGTAGAAAAGGACGGCAAGGCAGGCAGGATCATCACAGGAAAAAGGCAGTGTCATGTCAGTAGAGGAGCCATTTCTGATTTTTTTGAATCTTGATTTCGAGCTGTGAACAATGGAACCAAGTAGTTCTCGAGTTGTACATAGTTCTTCAGGAATACAGGAAACTTGAGCTCTTTTTTTAAGTTGGGAGTACAGTTATTTGCAGTACACTACTTCACTGTATTCGGTTGTGTAGAAAATTATATCTTGTCAACCTCTTCATTTTGGGTAGGTTGGAAATCCTTCGTCTTCTAGAACCTCCTCCTTCCATGTCGTCTTCTTCTTCCTCGAGTAGTTGTGTTTCTTCAGTAGGTTAGTAGACTAGAGGCGAAGTTTGTAATTAGTCAGCAGTGGTAGTGGTGGAAGTAGTTGGTGGTATGTCAGTTTTTTAGTTTAATACCTTTTATTTTGCACCCCATACCCATCCTGTGAGGGGTAGTCAAAAGATTACAGAGGTACATAATGGGTCCAGGGATTGGACACCAAAGTTATGATAGATGAACTAGTTACAAAGGTAATGAACCATCAACACTCCTATACATGGTTACAATCATGGACAAATTACAAAGTAATGAGCCACTGACACGTCCATATCTGGTGACAATTGTAATGAGTTATAAATAAAAATATTAAGCGAGTACACACACACACACACACACACACACACACACTGAACCGCCACACACCACACACACACACACACACACACACACACCACACACCACACACCACACACATCACAGTGAAGTGGCGGGGCCAGGAGATGAGTCTCGACCCCTGCAACCAAAATTAGGTGAATTAGGTGAGGCGAGTACACGCGCACACGCATGCGTAATGCTTTATTTACAGTGAGCAAAGTCAGGGTATTTTTCCAGAATGGTCTGTAATATACCACTGTGAATAAAATACTTTGCCATTTCTTGAACATTTCTGAGTGGGTTGTCTCAAAATTCATTAATTTGATCGCCTCCACTATAGGAGTCTTGTCATTGGTTGGAGGTTTTGAGCAAGAGCAGTTGTCAGGTTCTGGAGGAAAGTCTCCAGGTACATTGAAGTTGATGATTTTTTGAGTAATCTTCAGTATATCAGCTGAAGGTGGAGACTCATGGAAGGTAAAACTTGGCATGTTATTGGGTCTGAGGAGTTCATTGATGTGTTAAAGGTTCCAAATTCTGCTACATTTTGCATGTGAGCAAATATGCAATAATAGTTTTTTTGTCGGAGAGTCTTCAGGTAGTGAAGAGAGTAAGTTGCTGGTGCAGGGCTTCGGTTGAGTGGCTTGTAGAATTTTGGTGGTGTCACTGCAGAGGCATCGCTAGGGTTGGTGTCACCCGGGGCGGAATCTATGGTGCCACCCCCATGAAATCCAAGGGCGGGGGGATAGGGATAGTAAACTCCAGTTGCATCACTGCTGCATGCCCAGTGACTAACGTTTAGCAATGAGAACGTTTAAGGGCCATAAACCGAACTTTATTAATGATAAAATAAATAATCGTAGTAATATTGAGGAAATATGAACTTAAATACCACTTTGAGTACAGGCAACAGATCCTACATTTATTCATCTTCAACAATGAAAAAAAAAAAGCTTGAAAAATAAAGAAAAACACTAGTTCCGATTTAACCTTGAGTACAGGTAACGTCTCAAAAAAAAAATCTGATATTTCATTTCCTTGCCTTCAATCCTGCAAAATCATCTATCACATCATAAAAATCAATGATTTTCCCTATATAGGCCTATTTGTACTCTGTAATCCTATAATAGGCTATATAGAAACGAAGGATTTTTCTCTTAGGTTGCTGCAGCATGGTTTTGGTCATTAATGTTACCTTCTTTAGAGGCTCTATGGTGTTACCCCTTAAATGGTGTCACCCGGGGCGCCCCCCCCTCTTACGACGCCCCTGTGTCAGCTTGCAGTTTTGTGATAGCAGCATACGTTGAAGATTTGGTAGAGGTTTTCTTATTGCTCCTCTTGGTTTTTCTTGATAATTATTTTTCCTCATAGGGCACTTAGCAGCAAGAGTGCGATGTTCACTCTTACAGTTCAGGCATTTTGGAGGAAAGGTAGTGGTGCAAGCCTTGAAGTCATGCCATTCACAGCCATAAGTCGAGCAGAATTTCTTATCCTTGATAGGACAGTCCTTGGAGAGATGCAGGTAGGAGTAGCGGCTCCAACAGGGCGTGACGTGTTGAAATCGCTCAGCTTCAGTATGGCTTGGATTTATGTAGTATTTGTAAAAGACTGCCATTCCATCAGTAAGAACTTGGGCTGCCATGGTAACGTCACTGAAGGTAATCTTTAGCATTGAAGGGACATTTGAAATTTTGGTGATGTAGTCCACAGTGACCCAAAAATTCTGATCCATTGAGGTCTTGAGTTCGTCGATAGATTGATTGGGTTGTTGTAAGTTTGGCCAGTCGTTTAACGAAGATAGATCTCTTTGCCCTCAGTGCTGGAGAAGACATAAACTGGAAGCCACGTTCTTTGAGAGTAGTTGTAGCTTCAATAGTGTCATTACAGACGACAGTGAATGCATCGTTGAGCGAAAGACTCGCATTAAATTTGACATACACCTACCCCTTATAGTAGCTGCAAGTGCTAATTTGGATGCATCATTTACTGTCTCACGATTAGGCTTGATCTTCAAACGATTTGAATAATGCATGATGGAAGAGCAATAATGACGATTGCAGGAGGTAAAAGTTCCCCTCCCCAACTGGGATCGTAGGGAGACTGCAAAGGTGTGTCAGCCTGTGTCCTGCCAGAGGCGAGGTTAGCAGTGCAATGATTACATTGCTTCTGTCCACAGGAACCCAGCAGCTGTGGGACAGTCCTAGGTCTGACAGAGCGCTTCCTCTTCATCAGTGCCTCGTCCTGCCCAGTCTTCAGACATTCTGCTGGTGGCCTTGTCACCTATCCAGGCAACCACCAGCCTTGTCTGTCCGCCTCTATAGCATCTTCTGGTAGCCCAATGGTTGGTTGAGAGGCTCTTGAGAAAAGTGGCAATCCCTACAGACGAGAATTAAGTTATATAGGGTTCAGCAGGACGTGGGTGTATGACCTTCAGCAGGAATAGTCAATTTAGGGCAAATTTCTTTCAATTGAGCATCTTGCACTCTTGTCTCAACCGGTGTTGAGGTGTTCTTGTTCCCTTCTGCGTAGCATATAGCATTCACCTGACTGTGCAGCACAGTTTTAAATGTTTACCCACGGTTTAGGCCCTTTCTGCTTTTCTCGTGGTTTTTATGATTACCTGTGTCTGTTGGGGTCTAAGAGTCTTTTGATATGTAACAATTTTTAACTGATACTCGGTATTATAACTTCGTGTGATTGTATTTGTCTTGCATTTTAATCGTGCTAGTGACGTTTTTATTTTTTTTATTGCAAAGAGCGCTGACATATCACCACAAAACGTTCTTAATTTTTCAAAAACTACCCACAGTATGTACCTCCACAACATGCCGCCACCACTGTTCAATCCTCCACAACACTGCACCACACACTGCAACCCTCCACAATAAAACACCACACTACTACTAAATTGTGTATACTTCAGAAGCAGTGATTGAGACTTGAGTTACGCAATGTGTTTACCTTTGGTAGTTATGGTACACTCAGTGTTTTAACCACCCTCTCAGTTAAGATGCTCTTTCTCGTGCACTTCACTGCCTCTCACTTTAGCTGGGAGCAGCAAGGAATATATGAAATATTTTTATTTTAAGGCGTTTATTCATCAGTGCGTCATAAATGACTGCAAATTAACTATTTACTGTATTTATCAAATACACATTTGTAACAGGTTTACAATTAATTTGTATATAAATTCAAAGTAAAAATATTTAACCATGGTTCATCCTTCAATACCTTTGATATTGGTAGTTACAAGATGTAAAATGGTTATAACTATGACCATAATTTTTCAAGGGGTGGACCGGTAAGCCATCGAAAGGCCTCGGTCAGATAACCAAAAACAAACGGTGGATCGTCATCTGACTAAGACCCGCGTTGTATCCCGTTTCCTGACGTACCTTACCTTACCTTACCTTACCTAACCTAACCGGTATTTACAAGTTAAAGATTAAACTTGTTTCAACATTGAGGTGGAAATTGTGCCATTAATTGTGGTCTGGTGCAGTTTTGCCAATACATAGTATTTCGTTACGAATTTAGCTGTTTTTTTTCCTGTAGAAATAATGGGACACGTTTAATCAATGGTTTTGTATATAATGAACTAAAATAAAATTTTGAGTTTGAATATAGAAAAGTTGAAAACGGCATACCTTTGGTTATAATATTATTGATAATGTTTACAAATGTTAAATTTTAACTTTACTGTAATTTGTTGTGCAGGTTTTTGTTTTATTTTTATTTTTTGTTTTGCAGGGTGATGGAGAGTCTGCCCCAGACACACCACCACCAGAAACAGCCCCAGAAGATTCTCTCACCACTCCCTCCCCCACCACAACCACTCCCTCCACCACCACAACCACTCCCTCCACCACCAGGACCACAGAATCCACCACCAAACCCTCCGTAACACAAAAGTCCTCCGCACGTCAAAAATCTAAAAATGCTGCCAAGTCTGCCGCTGCCGCCCCTCCCTTGGAGCTCAGCTTGCGACTGGATGGCATGTCCGTGTTCTTATTTGTATTGGCTTTTATTACTCGCATCTGGAAACTAGAGACTCCTAAAGGCATTGTGTGAGTATTAAGTTGTGTATTGATAATTTACTGATAAAAAATATAAGTATTCTGAGGTATAGGTCAACGTTTAAGATTTTTGTGTTTTCGGTAAAAAGGAAGCTATTGATATTTGATTGTAATATTCTGAGTTCTTAATATGCACGCATGTTAGTGCATAAAGAACAAAACACTGCAGATATTCCATGTGATTCTTTTTCTCTTGCGAGGGAATAACTAACCAAAGAGGGGGGGGGGGCGTTCTTTCAGATATATAAGAATAACGTTTGGGAAAGTAGTGGAATTGTAACTCGTCAGCTTTGTATGTGACAAAGAAATGTGTACAATTTTAAGACTTGTATCATCTGCTTTTTACACAAGAGGATAAAAAAAAAGTCCAGAAATCGGTAATTAATATAGGTTAGGATAAGAATAAATTATACAAGATCAGTCACTAGTGACAGGGTTCACCTACAGTCAGACACTGTTGATTGAAACAGTCCCGGCACCGAAGATGTTGAAACAAGTGATTTGTGATAGCTTTCTCTAGGCTCTTTATTAATCTCATGTGTGATGAATGGTTTGAAAAACCGACATGTTGAAGATTGAGACACTTATGCAGCATATGGGAATCTTTATTCAGGAAACGTTTCGCCACACAGTGGCTTCATCAGTCCAATACAAAGAGGAAGGCGTAAGGAGAGGAGGAGAATGAGGTAATCAGTCCCTCAACCTGGAGTCGATGTGTTCAGTCCATCAATCTTGTAGAATGTACAGCATAGGGCCGTAGACGTGGCTTATATACTGTAGTGAGGTGACGTGAAGCAGATGGAGGCGGGGTCATAGTGGTACCATCCACTAGTCGAAGTAGGTCTTCGTCCAAAGGTTGAACAAGTGTTGAAGAATTCTTTGTAACAAGTTCCCATGATGCTGCAGTGTCTGACAGTTGTGATGAATGGTTTGAAAAACCGACATGTTGAAGATTGAGACACTTATGCAGCATATAAGCCACGTCTACGGCCCTATGCTGTACATTCTACAAGATTGATGGACTGAACACATCGACTCCAGGTTGAGGGACTGATTACCTCATTCTCCTCCTCTCCTTACGCCTTCCTCTTTGTATTGGACTGATGAAGCCACTGTGTGGCGAAACGTTTCCTGAATAAAGATTCCCATATGCTGCATAAGTGTCTCAATCTTCAACATGTCGGTTTTTCAAACCATTCATCACAACTGTCAGACACTGCAGCATCATGGGATCTTGTTACAAAGAATTCTTCAACACTTGTTCAACCTTTGGACGAAGACCTACTTCGACTAGTGGATGGTTCCACTATGACCCCGCCTCCACCTGCTTTACGTCACCTCACTACAGTATATAAGCCACGTCTACGGCCCTATGCTGTACATTCTACAAGATTGATGGACTGAACACATCGACTCCAGGTTGAGGGACTGATTACCTCATTCTCCTCCTCTCCTTACGCCTTCCTCTTTGTATTGGACTGATGAAGCCACTGTGTGGCGAAACGTTTCCTGAATAAAGATTCCCATATGCTGCATAAGTGTCTCAATCTTCATTAATCTCATGATTGTTTATTAGTCCTTGTTTTCCCAGAACCAAATCAAGCGGGTAATTTCATCTAGTTGGTTCTGACACATGCTGTTTTAAGAAGCGTTCCTGGACTATTTCTAGAGTCGCTAGACTATTTTCAGATTGATCATCAATTTGGCTGAAGTTAAAATCTCTTGTTAAAACTGCATTTTCATATCAAGATGCACTTGGCATTTCTCCCAAAGTTTAATGTGCTCACTGTCCAGGTTTGGAAGTCTGTAGATCACGCCTGTTGTATCTAGCTTTTTATGCCCATTTAAGAAACTCAGCTAAACAGATTCCGTGTCAGTCCTTCCGCCTTTATATGGCCTCTGATGCAGCAATTGAAAGTTCCTTACGTATAAACTCCATTAGCTCTCCTGTTAATTACCATCTGTCATAGGCACTTGCCGATGTACTTAGGTGGTTGTTTGTGTTATCGTACGTGTTCGACCACGTGCATGCATGCTTGGGGAGGTGGGTGTCAGCCTACCTACCTGAAGGGTGTTCCGGGAGTCAGCACCCACCCACGGCCCGTTCCATGACCGAGCCTGTCGGTGGATCAGGGCCTAATCAACCAGGCTGTTATTGCCAGCCACACGGTGCCCCGTGGCCCGGTGGCAAAAGCTCTTGCTTCATACGGTGAGGGTCCGGGTTCGATTCCCGGCAAAGGGGTGGAAACATTGGGTGTTTTTCCTTACACTGGTTGTCCATGTTCACCCGTCAGTAATAATGGGTGCCTGGGTGTTAGTCGACTGGTGTGGGTCGCATCCTGGGAAACTGACCGAATTTGCCCGAAATGCTCTGCAGAACAAGCGGCTTTCTATATAGTAGTGTCATTGATGTCAGCTAGGCCTGTATATCTTGTACATATAAGTAGTGATGAAGGCGGCTCATTCTACAGAGTGGCTTAACTCTGTTTGGGCTCCTCCTGAAAGGGCTGGGCTCTCTCCTTGAGTGGCTCCTTTTCACACCTATGTGTAATGACCTTTTTAACATCCTATATGCTAATTACCTTAACCCCACCCACGACCCCCCCTGCGCCCCCGGCCCTGCGCCCCCGCGCCCCCCCAAGCCCCTACGACCCCCACCCACGCCCCCCATGCCACACCCTCGCCCGTGGCCCATGACCCCTCCACTCTGGCCCCCCACACCCGTGCTCCCCCACGACCCCCCGCCCTCGCACCCCGCCCATGCCCCCGTGCCCCCACCCGCCCCCGGCCCTCGCGCCGCTCCGGCCCTCGCGCCCGCCCGCGCTTGCTGCGCCTTCTGCAGCGTATCGGATCGCCCCCGCCCCCCCCCCCCCCCCCCCTCCCGATTTTTTTCCGATTTTCAAATTTTTTTGAAATTTTATTTTCTTATGATCTGGATCAATTTTTGGGTTCCCCTCCACTTTACCCACCACCCAAATTTTTTCGGATATTTTTTTCTTCTCGATAATACAAAGACTCCCAATTCTCGGATAAATTTTTAGGTTCCCCCCTCTGGGTATAAGCATTCAAATGAACTCCCACTTGCATCCCAATTTTTTTTCTCGATAATGACAAACACTCCAATTCCTTGGATCAAGGTTTTCTCGGATAATTCAATAATACAAAGGATTTCCCCACCATCCATTATCCCTCTGCCAAGTATTTCTCCTCCCATCTCTCGGGATCAGTTTTTGGATTCCCCTTGGGTATAAGCATTCAAAATGAACTCCCACTTGCATCCCAGTTTTTTTTTTCGATTATACTAAGACTCCAATCCTCGGATCAAAGTTTTCTCGAATCAGTCTCCATCTCCTTGGATCAAGTTTTTTCTTCGATAATACAGACTATATTCCTTGGATCAAGTTTTTTGGATTCCCCCACTTTCTCCCCCATCCAAATTTTCGATTTTTTTTGGAATAATACGAAACACTCCATCTCCTCGGATCAAGTTTTTGGATTCCCCCCTCTCAGGGTAAGCATTCAAATGTAATCCTCCTATGGGGCATGGTACTTTCTCTTATACAGGCTAAAACAAGTGGCGACGTCACCCCACCTGTGTTTTACTGGGTCAGTGAAGTCAACCGTGATGACTTTTTTTCCCCCACATTACAGGCTGAATTCTTGTCGGACTTCCCCAATCTCAGTAATTACACATTTCATATACAACATAGGATAATACATTTTCACTCTTAACCAGGATAATCCAAGAATTTACTTTTTTTTTGTTTAATACCCACAATAATCACAAATTTCTTTACAAAATAACAAACAACAAGTCTAGGGACATTTTTTCTCGTTTTATACTATTTCATCTAGGTCTATCCCCACGAAGTAACCTTTTCTCTCTCCTCCTCCCCACCCTCACGAACCCTCCACACTCCAACCAACACCTCACAATTTTCACTCAATAACCCCCAATTTTTCTCGTTTTAATCTAAATGTTCATCAGAAAGTCTCAACAACCAACAACAACATCAACTTATATTCACTTTGTCAACATACTCTGTTGTCAACACCCACAAGCACCCACACCCACAATTTTTCTCTGTTTTAAACTAGTTTCATCAGAAAAAAAGTTCAACAACAAACCACTTATAAACCATTCTTTTTGGATCTCTAGGTTCGGAAAAGCATCACGCCACAACACCCACATCCCACATCACCCACAACCCACATCACCCACACCCACAACTCCCACAACACCCACAACACCCAATCCCACATCCCACATCACCCACACCCCACAATACCACAACCACAATTTTTTTTTGTTTTTCTGTTTTAACTATTTTTCGATCAGGAAACGTCACAACAACCATCATTGATCATATCTCTTTTCAGCATCGCTAGTTCGTACAAAACACCACAAATCCACTATCACCCTCAAACCACAACCACAACCAACAACACCCACTATCCACAACACCCACATCCCCTACACCAATTCCCACAATTTTTTCTCGTTTTAACTAATTTCATCAGAAAAAGTCACAACAACCCACAATTATAACCACTTTTTCTGTTTTCTCTAGTTCGACAACAACACCACCATCACCCACAACCCACATCCACCAACATCCCCACAACAACCACAACCAAAAACACCCTCAACCACAATTTTTTTCTCGTTTTTTAACTAATTCATCAGAAAAGTCACATCAACAACCCACAACTTATAACCACTTTTCAGCATCACTAGTGCGACAAAACATCCCACATCCACAACACCCAATCCCACAACACCCACATACCACAACACCAACATCCCAATCACCCACACCCCCACAACAACTTACCACAAATTATAACACTTTTTTCGGTATTCTCTAGTTCGACATCAAACACCCAACCCACAACACCACAAACCCACAATTTTTTTTCGCGTTTTAAACTAATTTCATCAGAAAGTCACAACAACCAACTTACAATCACTTTTCGCAATCTTAGTTCAG